GGGGTGTGCCGATGTTCCCCTGAAGCGAAGGGAGAGACGTGCCCCTCCGCTGTGGAGCAGGGGCCCCGGGGGCTCAGCTCCGTGGCGAGGTCTGACAGAGGCTCCCCTCTCCTGTAGTGTCTCCAAGCAACCAGCCATCATGCCCGGCCCGTCTTACGGGCTGGAAGACGGGTCCTGCAGCTACAAAGACTTCAGTGAGTCCAGGAACAACCGGTTTTCTACTCCAGAGCAGGCAGCCAAGAACCGGATCCAGCACCCCAGCAATGTGCTGCATTTCTTCAATGCCCCCCTGGAAGTGACTGAGGAGAACTTCTTTGAGGTGTGCACTGTGGCTGGCCCCACCGCGTCTTAGTCTCTGACAGATGCCCGAGGGCTGCTCATTAGGCCCCGGCCTGGGTGGGGATGGCAGGACCGGCAGGCCTGTGGTGGTCTAAGCTGTGCTCCTCAGGCATGGCAGGGCTCCTCCCTGTGGGGTGGGGAGAGTCCAGATTCGTGACTTCAGACAGCCCTCGGGTGCTTGGGGGCACCAGGGGAGAGGGGGTCCTGCTCCCACGTGGTTAGGGGGACCAGGCAATCGGGTTTGCAGCTTGCCCTGCTGCCCAGCGGTTGCCATCGTCAGCGCCACCTCCCCCCACCCAGGGCGGTAAAGACAGGGTGTTCAGGAAGCAGCTTCCCAGTCCTTGTAGTGACAGTTTACGGCACATCTTTGCATGTGGTGAAGACCTAGACATTGTCAGAAGCATCTGGGCAGTGGGTGGGACAGGCCTCACGAGATCTGGGGTAGCTGAAGCGCCTCGTCTCTGCTGCAGATCTGTGACGAGCTAGGAGTGAAGCGGCCATCTTCCGTGAAAGTGTTCTCAGGCAAAAGTGAGTCAACCGCCCGCCCTCCCCACCCGCCTTGCTTCTGAGGGGGCAGCTCCTCGTCTGCTCGCGTCAGCCTAAAATTGCTCCCTCTGGTCAGGTGAACGCAGCTCGTCGGGGCTGCTGGAGTGGGAATCCAAGAGCGACGCCCTGGAGACTTTGGGCTTCCTGAACCATTACCAGATGAAGAACCCAAGTGAGTACCTGGGTGCCCCGTGGCCTGGTGGGCTGGCTGGCTCAGACCGGAGCGGGCCTTCCTGCCCCACAGCTAGCCCAGGCGGGCTGAGCCCTGGCTGGCAGGGGCTGGGGGTCTGCCCGCCAGGAGAGCCGCCTGGTGCTCCCAGTGGGAGGGCAGGCTGGCTGCGTGCTGCCCACACCGTCAGCTGGGGCGTTGCTCGGGCTTGCCCTCCCAGGCCCAGGTGTTCTCTGCGTCGGAGGCTGCCAGCTAATGCCCAGCGCTGTCAGCTGCCGGTCTGGCCCGGATCACACCAGCAGAGGGGCTGCACAGGACAGTGGGCTGTACCTTGGGCAGCCGCCACCTGGGCCCGCAGGGGGGTGGGGCACTGGGCGTGGTCGCCTGCGAAGTCTCTGGCTGGTGCTGGGCGGCCTGTCGGTGACCTGCAGCAGCCGAGAGCCCAGAGGGCCTGGCTGAAGCGTGCGCTCTCTTGCAGATGGCCCATACCCTTACACCCTGAAGTTGTGTTTCTCCACCGCTCAGCATGCCTCCTAATGGGTGCCTGGGAAGAGTTCCATCTGAGCAGGAAGACATTTTTTCTTTATGCTGGTTATTTTTTTTCCTGTGTTACCGGTTTTTTTTTTGTTTTTTTTTTGCAAAAGTTCCTGTATTCCTTTTTTTTTTTTTTTATGCTAGGTTAGTAGAGGCTTAACCATAATGGAAATGCTGAAAGTCTGGAGGGGGAGGGGAAGGGGAACGGATATCTCCCAAAATAACCTTTTTGAAGGTTTTTGAAAATTATTGTACATGTGATTTTATTTTTCCTGTTCATACATCTGTGCTGCCTGTGTACTCTTGGCACATTTCAATAAAATTGTTTGGAAAAGAAAAAGCACTTTCTGGGGTTCCAGGGCGTGTCTGCTTCCCTTCCACCCCCCTTCTGAAGAGGGGCAGGCGGGCAGGCCCCGGCGGCCGTGGCCTCCAGCCTTCGAGGCCGCCCCCGCGGTGCTGGAGCGGTGGTCTGAGACAGACCAGAGAGCCGGCGCCACGCTCGGGGGCTCTGCCATGCACGTGGCATCGGGCTGCAGTCCAGAAGGAAGGGGCCGAGAAAGGAAAGACTTGGGAGACGTCGACGCAACTGAAAGCCATAATCTGCGAAGTAGACTCGCGTTTTTATAAGACTGGAAAATAAAACTTCAGAGATCAAGTTTCTCTCCAGTCCCTGTAATGCATCTTTCTTTTCCCCAGTAGGGATCGTGCGACGGTCAGGGTATGCGCTTGCACTTTTCAAAGCCCCAGCTTTGTGCTGTCAGTGGTGTCCAGAACCTCCCGGTCCCTGCAGCCGCTCCTGTGAGTCGTCACGTGGCCCCAGTTCCGTACTGCGGACACCACACGTGCCTGCTGCGGGGCTGTCTTCCAGCTGCCCTGGGTAGAGCTAATTCCCAGCCAGGGCCGTTGCAGTGTGGCAGCAGGCACCCCACAATCCTGGCAGATGGGAGCATGAGTGACGGGCCCCAGGGCCTGTTTGAGGACCAGGCTTGCCATGAACGACCAGGAAGGTCCCCAGGTCTGCTTAGATTCTGCTGTTCTCCCATGTTCTCCCAGGGCTGCTGCCTGGGGGCGCTGCTGTGATCGTGCTGCTTGCTGGGGTGAAGCTGTGGGGGTACTGCACTCCGTGCCTTGACCCCCTTTAAGAGCAGCGAAGAATGCTTTCGATAAGTGAAGGGACAGGTTTCCTCACACAGCTGTGAGCCTACTACTGTGGCTCAGCCTTTCGGACGCATCCCACAGCCTGGCAGCTGCTGTCGGCCGGAACCCAGCTGCGCTGGCTGGCCGGCCAGTTTGGTGCTGGGACCGCACCGGCAATTCTTCCTTCAGTGAGTGAGGCATGCCACCCTCTTGTCGGGCCTCCTTCCTGAGGTGAGCAGAGCTGGGGCATCGCTTTCACACCTTGCCCAGACTCAGGGGGACAGACAGGCCCCTCCAGGTAAAGCCCAGGGGCTCTGTTCAGCCCTTCTCAAGGGATAGGAGAGCCTGGTCGCCTCACGCCCCCTTGTGAGGCCAGGTGGGGTTGTGGGGAATGTATACCGCATTTGGTGAGTGCGACTCAGCAGTCCATGCCTTCGGTTATGGGATCTGTGTGGCCTTGGCTTGCGTTTCCATGACATGGCAAATGCCTATAGACGGCCTTATTAAGGCACCGGTCTGGGGTTATACAGACCCGCCGCATAGCCAAGACGGTTCTTCCAGTTCCGAGAGGAATGCAGCTATACAGGAATGTGATTGTTCCCCTTTGTTGCAACACTGAACACAAGGGGGGTGCCCTCCCTGGTGGCGCCACACGTCAAGCAAAGCACTATAAAGCTTCCCCCCACCCCCACCCCGGAGCTGACCCACAGGGTGCAGAGACCTCTCCTGTCTCATCCACTGCTCTCAGCAGTGTGTTTCAGTTCATCTGCCTGTTTTCCCCATTCTCTGATAAATCCTCTCACTCCCACACCTCAAGCCTGTACCCCAGTTCTTGTATAAATTTTTAAGATTTACTTATGTATATAGAACTGGGGTGCAGGCCAGAGGTGCAGGGAAGGTGAGAGAATGCACCAGAGGCTGAGGAGCAGAACAGGCAGAAAGTACACTGCTGAGGGGAGCAGTGGGCGAGACTGGGGAGTCTGCTGGGCCGTGTGGGTCAGCTCCAGGGCAGGGATCAAACTCTGGGAAGTGCTGCTGTGATTTTGCTGCTTGCTGGAGCAGAGGAGTTACTGGGGGTACTGCACTCCCAATTCACAGGGGGCCATACCTTGACCCCCTTCCCAAACAATAATGCTAATGCCTCATACAAGCTATAAAATCGGACGGACCCCACTGAGTCCAGCAGTGTGATGAATACATCTCCCTCTCCACCTCCCAGTGCGCCTGCTTCTCTGGGAAATTGCCATGACAAAACCACCCCTGTGTTCACTGCGCTTGCAATCAGGGCTCTGCCTTGGGAATTGAAGTTTGTAAACTTGGAGTAGTATCTGCTGACGGGTCACATGGTATTTATATGATGAACCGTCACCAGGGGAACTTGGTGGACAGGAGTCAACTGCAGTCACCCTCTCACCAGAAACTTCTAAAATTTAAGATGTTATAGGTATGTCTATGCACACATACATCAACAGTTACAGTTATAGCTACATCTTTTAAATACCAACTGGTCATTACAATTTTTTTCTCTCCACCTTGCTACCCAGCCCTTTCAGTTAGTAGAACTCACTGTTTACAACCAGTCCTGGCTCCAATGTTTAAAAGCCTGTGTGACACAAGAAGGCAAAAAATTCCCTGCTGTTCTACTCCTCCAGAACCTTCGCGAACATCTCACTATAGTACACACTTAGGCAGTTTTATGGCACTTTTTATGCTCTTGGGTTCATGGTTTTTTACAGGAAATTGAAAATTTTCACGGATGGGAGGGCCACAGCCCCCCTCTTCAGCACCCCTGAGTCCCAGAGACGCAGGTGCAATGACTGCCCTCCGCCCCCCATGCTATGGAAACTAGCGGGCGGGTGCAGAGGCGGGGGCGGGGGTTGGTTCATCGTGGGCGTTTGACACAGGCCCACCTGGACCTGCCGCCCTTTCCACGAGGAAACCCGCAGCTAGGTGACAAAATGGTTCATGCGATACAGGTAGGATCACCCACTGGCAGGGCGGTGGCTATTCCGCGACGAGGACCCCGGACCAGCTGTCGCCGGTTTTCCACAGCGATGTGATGAACTCTGTACAGCAACGCGAGCGGCGGGGGTGACCGTCGGCAGTGGGTTCCCACTGGGTGAAAGGTCCCACCCCTAAGAGCCGCTGTCACTCGCTGGCCCCCGCCCCGCCCCCCCGCTTGGTCACTTCCGGTTGCCCTTAGTAAAGATGTCGGGGAGCGCGTCCCGCGCTCGCGCTGCGGCATCAGTGCCCTCGCCCGACATGGCGGCCTCCCGTCCCCGCCCCCCGGCTTCCTGCGTCCGGGGACCACAAGAGCTCAGTCACAATGGCGGCGGCAAGGGTGGCTTCTGGCAGACTCCGCGACCTGCTGACGCGACGTGAGTCACTGCGACCTCTGGGGGTCCGTCACTGTCATGCTGTCAGCGAGTGTAGGAAGGGGAGGCCTGTCCCGGGTCAGATAGGGTCCCAACCCTTCAGCTCAGGGGTCCCTGTGCTGCCACCCAAAGGGCTCCCCACTTCTACAGGCCCCTGTCTTATAATCTGGCCTTGACAGCTCAGTGACCGTGATCTGGGGTCCCACCATCAGGGCCTGAAGTAGTTCTCAGGGTGCAGCCACTGATAAATGGATGCACTTGTGATCCTACAGCTGTATCCTGGTAAACAGGTCTCTACGGAGTCTGTTCCCTACCTAGGGTCACTGAGCTGTGTACCCTCCGCTCTGGACCCAGCCAGGGTCATCAGAGACTCCTCTTCTGTCTCCCCAGGACTGACTGCCCACTCCCACCTGGGTCTCAGCATTAGCCTGCGCGCCATGGGCTCTGCTGCACAAGATAAGGCCACCAGCGCTGCCCCCAGTGAAGCCCCAGACCACAACTATGAGTCCCTTCGGGTGACATCCGCCCAGAAACACATCCTGCATGTGGAGCTAAATCGGCCTGAGAAGAGGAATGCCATGAACAGGGCTTTCTGGAGGTCGGGCCTGCAATCCTGGAGGCCTGCCTGCAGGAGGAGGAGTGGGGGCGGACAGAGGCATTGGGCAGGAGTGGGGTGTGCAGGGCGGATGGACGCGAAGGCAGGGGATTGCCCCCCAGACCCAGCCTTTCCTGCTTGCCCTTTCACAGGGAGATGGTGGAATGCTTCAACAAGATTGCAGAAGACGCAGACTGCAGGGTAGTGGTTATCTCTGGTGGAGGAAAAATGTTCACTGCAGGTACCGGGTCCTCGCCACACCCACCCCTGCTCCTGGGTATACGGCAGTGCTGCCTCCTAATTAGACTTCGAAGCAGCTTCTCACGTTGACTTTCGTCTCTTTAAAACTTTTAAAACAGAAGTCAGTACTCGAACATGACAAGCTTCAAAGTTTGGGTTTTCATCCTTGAGCAAGGCCCTTGACTTCTCAGTCTGTCTTGTGTTGTAACAACACCCCACACACTTTGGCACAGTCAGCTGGCACACGAGCTGCCTGCCGGTCGCTTGCTGGGCCTTTTTGATTGTCCCACAGGCCTGTTCTTCAGATGGGATCATTTCCATGGGCCAGATACACCGGCGCCAGGGTCATTTCTGTTCTGCTGTTAAACCCAACCAGTGATTTTTTTTAACTTCACATTGTAGTTTTCAGTTCTCAAATTTCTGTTTAGGCCTTTTTAGACTTCCCATTTCCCTGCTGAAAGTTCCCATCTTTTTAGTTACCACGAGCGTGGCTTTCCTTGTGCCACTGGCCTGCATAAATGGCTCCTAACATCTGGGTCACCTCGGGGTCCACTTGCTTTGAGTCTCTGTTGGCTACCTGTGCCCTGGAGACATTGGTCTCGTTTTCCCGTTTCTTTTATATCCCAGATGTTGGGGTATGGGAACTGTACCCTATTATATAACTCCACAGTCTGCTTTAGCAGCTGAGTTAAATCTGTTTTAACAGACTTATCTGGCTGGTTCATGGGTCAGCTCCCTGGCTGGGGATGGAACTCGTGCTGCAGTGGCTGCAGATGGCTTCACAGTGCTGAGACTAACCCCTGCGCCACCAGGGAGGGCCTCATACTGATATCTGCACGGTGACCCAGCCCGACACTGGGAACCCAGCAGTGCTGAGACAGCCACGACCCTGCCGGCGTGGAGTTCCCAACTCAGAGGGGAAGACAGACTGCATCAATCTGTTTCCTCTGGCAACATGGTCACCCCAGGCTTTATTTTCTCTCTCTGACTCTGTTTCCCTTGCATTCACTTGCAGCGTCTCTCCAGGGCCAGCCCCCTTCCAGGGTGCCAGGGAGCGCCCCTTCTGGACACTAGGCGCAGCTGCAGCTTCTGGCCCCTGGCCCTGGCAGGCTAGTGTGTGAGGGGGGCGGGTGCCCAGCACCCCACTTTTCCGCTCCCAGCGGGTGGTAGCTATCTCACCCTATTATCAGTAGCAAGAACCCGAAGGCCAGAAAGAAGAAAGTCAACTTAATTAGTAGTTTCAATGAGAGAAGGAAACTACTAATTAGAAAGTAAATAGAAGTAGCCCATACTTATTTGGCTTTCTTGGAGCATCTAAGCACTTTTCACACAGTGATTCATTCTCACCACGACCCTGTGAGACAGCTGCCATCATCCCCACTTTACAGGTGAGGAAACTGAGGCCCAGAGGGAGGCAGGAGCTCACTGGCCCAGCTCTCACTGCTTTGTAGCAAAAATGCGATTGTCCTGCTCAGGCCGCCGGGTCCTTGACCGCTCACGATAGCCAGTGTCTGGCCTGCTGGCTTGAAGCCAGGGCTGCGGCCTGGGCACCCCGCTCCCACCTCTCTGTGGCGTGGTTCCCTCCTCGGAGGAAGAGGAGAGAACAGCAGCACGCAGCCCCTTGGGTTGCCATGAGGCGAGCGTTAGTATGTGTGGCCTTCAGTGGCCCTAGCTGTTAGTGGGGGTGCCGGGGTGACTGTGGCCACATGAGCCACTGGGAGGCCCGCAGAGAAACCAGAGGGGCTTTCCTGCGGGTTCTTACTTTGGGAGAGCAGGGGCCTTTTATTCCCAGGGGTACAGACTTCATTGTGCAGGTCAGGGTTGGGCCGGTAAACTAGAAAAGCGGAGGGGGGGTGTGGCAAGAGGCGGGGCCTGTCCGTCCTGGGAGGCCTGTCCCGGGACCCAGCTGCCCCCTCACCCGGCGTGGCGGCTGGCAGCACCAGCTGGTGATACAGGCGGCACGGCCCCTGACGTGGAGAAGGTAGCTGTCACCGTCACATGTGGTGACGTGCGGGAGCTGAGGGCCTGGGGCCGGCGTGAGTGGCAGGGGGTTGGGGGACCTACCTGACTCTGAATCTTTGCAGCCCTATCTGCTCTCTGGAGCGAGTTTTTGCTTTTTCATTTTAAAAGGACAGGTTCCTTAGCAAAAGGAGAAAGATAGACGCACCTGCACAGTCACAGGCGTCAGAAGAGCACCTCTCGAGGGTTTGACCCTCACTTTACAGGAAAGAAACCCTCGTTTTATGGGGGACCCTCCCTGTGGCGCAAGGGGTTAAGTCTCAGTGCTATGAAGCTACCTCAGCCACAGCAGCGCAGGGAGCTGACCCAATGGTGCAGCAGACCTCTCCTGACCTGCCTCCTGCTCCCCTCAGCAGTGTGTCTCAGCCCATCTGCCTGTTCTCCCCTCTGTCTCTGGAGAATCCTCTCACCCACCCACCCAGCACCTCTGGCCTGTACCCCCGTTCTTGTGTGCATCAATCTTTTCTTTTTTTTTTAAAGAAAGAAATGAGCCCCACGGCCCAGTGAAAGCAGTGCTCAGGGCCCCTGTGGGCCGCTACGCTACTGTATTTGGCCTGCACACTCCACTCGACCCCCAGCCAACGCCACTGGAGCCGAGCTGCTTATTGAACAAGCTGTGGCGGCAGCTGGCGGCTCAGGGAATCGGGGCGAGTCCAGATGTGGGAATGCATTTTCAGGTTGTGCAAAGGCATGATTTAGGGAGCAGGTGAAAGGTTGAGATGAGAATGATTAACTCACAGAGGGGGAAGTCAAACTGGCCTGTAACTCAGCCTCCCCATCAAAACCCAGGTCACCCCCTTGGCTCACAGGCCCCGGCACCTCTCTGCCTTCGCGCCCCCGCCGGCCTCCCCAGCCGCCGTGGCCTCCTCGTGGGCCGCCAGCCCAGGCCCTGCCCCACCGCCCGCTCCAGCCGCCTCGCTGCAGGCCTGCACACACGCTATTCCAATCGCAGCTTTTATTTCTTCTCTCTTGCCTTTATCACCACTGGAGGAAAGGGATGTTCTTACTCCCCGAGAAGGGCAGCTGGGCTGCAGGGGTGGGGGGACAGGGATGGCTGCCTACACCGGAGTTGGGGCCCTGCAGACCGGGGCTACCCTGGTTTCCCACCAGGGGAGATGACAAGTCCACCTCATGGAAGCATCCTAGTCGCTAGAAAGGGAGCGAGGCGGAGATAAGCACTGAGATAAGCAGGCAGCCCCGTGCTAACAGGAGGGAAGTGCAGGAGATAAGGCAGGAAGAGGGGGGATTGCTACCGAGCAGGGTGGCCCAAGCAGGCCTGTCCGAGGAGTGACCTTTGAGCTGTGCCCACATTGGTGGAGGCAGCCTTGGCACAACCCCAGGGGCAGCCAGCTCACACAGGGGGCAGCGGGCACAAGGGCCAAAGGAAATGATGCTTGTTGCAGACCTGGCGAGGTCAAGGTCATGGCAGAGACCTTGCGTCTCTCGGCAGAGGGGTGGGGAGGCGGGGGAGGCCCCGAGGCGTGTGGGGGACAGATGGTGCAGCAGCAGTGGGTGCAGGGGAACCGCTGGCAGCCACGTGGACCCACGGAGAAGGTGAGTAGAGGAAAAGCGAGACCTGGGGTTGCTTTAAAGCTAGAGACACAGGCCCTCCCTGGGGGCGCAACAGGTTAAAGCGCAGCACTACGAAGCTGTCTCAGCCCCTTCGGCCTGAGATCGATCCCCGGCCCTGGAGATGACCCACGTGGCCCGCAGACCTCTCCTGACCCGCCCGCTGCTCCCCTCAGCAGCGTACTTCGTCAGTCTGTTCTGCTCCCCACTCTGTCTCTGGTGAATCCTCGCACCCCCTGCACCTCTGGCCTGTACCCCAGTTCTGTATGCACAAATAAAGCTTTAAAAAAAAAAAAGTAAAGCTAGCAACACACAAGCTGCTGCATCTCCTGACCAGGAGACATCGCTGCCACTGACGCTTTCTGAAGCCCACACCCTGGCCGCCTCAGCAGCACCCTGGCCGGGTGTGGGAGCCCAGCCCCACTGCTCTCTAGCCCATTCAGTCGATGGGGGGCCTGGCTCCTTTGCAGCAATGTGTGCCCCCCCCCAAGTTAGGGCCCACTTCAGGGTGGTGCCAAGGGCTGAGGGAGTGAACGCCAGCTTCTACTCCTCACACCCCCGCGGCCCTCCCTCTGGAGCCGCGAGTTGCTTCCTGCACTGTGTGGTTTGGGGGGGGGTTGGCAGCCATCTTGCCTGGGAGCAGGCCTCTGCTTGGCATGGGAGCCCGGGGCCAGGTGAGCCTCCTCTGCCTCCACACCAGGCATCGACCTCATGGACATGGCCTCGGACATCCTTCAGCCCCGAGGAGATGACGTGGCCCGCATCAGCTGGCACCTCCGTAGCCTCATCGCCAAGTACCAAGAGACCTTCAGCGTCATTGAGAAGGTGACGCTGGGGTCTGCCAGGGCACCCTTGGGCCCCTCCTCCCGGGCCAGCCCTGACCCCAACCCTCCTGTTCTCCTCCAGTGCCCTAAGCCTGTGATTGCTGCCGTCCACGGGGGCTGCATTGGCGGAGGTGAGTCTGCACCCACCTACCCACCAGACGGGGCTCATTCTGGCTGGGTGCTGATTGGCTGCTGCCAGCCGGCCTGAGCCAATGGCCTCCAGCCTCAGATCTGTTGCTATGTAGATTTTGCCCCAAGGTGCGAGCCCTGTGCCGGCATTGGTGGTTCAGTGGTAGAATTCTCGCCTGCCAAGGTGCGACCCCAGGATCCGGGAACAGGGGTTGGGCCTGGTGATTGTTGACTGCCCCTGGCCTCTGTCTCCCAGGCGTGGACCTTATCACCGCCTGTGACATCCGGTACTGTGCCCAGGATGCTTTCTTCCAGGTGAAGGTGAGCTGTTGTTGTCCTGAGCATCTGCTTAGCGCTGTCCTTCTTAGAGCTGGCCTCGAGTGGCAGATGGGGGGTGGGGGGTGGAGTGGGGGAGCCAAATGACGTGGCCCACATCAGCTGGAACCTCGCAGCCTCATCACTTGGAGGGTGGGTAGCTTGGAGGTTGGAGTTTGGACATTGCCAGGAAGAGCCAAGTGTGGGCTCAGGGCGGCTGGGGGTGGGGGGACTGGCGTGAGCCCCGAGGGCCTCGTGGGAGCCAGGCAGCACTGAACCAGGCAGCAAGGCACTTGGCCGCAGGAATCAAGGGTACGTCACAGTCCTGGTGAGATCAGGCGTGAGGAAAGGTCCAGAAGCTCGGATGAGGCTGGGGTGCTGCTGGAAAGGGCCGGAGGCAGGGTGGAGCCCACCTGTGCGGTCAGGTGGGGTGTTTCTCCAGGAGAGAGATGTGGCCGGCCCCAAAGACAGAATTTCACTGGCCTCGACACTGCGGGGGGCGAGGGGGGAAGCACTGTGCTGACCCGACTGCTGCGCACCCTTCAGGAGGTGGATGTGGGCTTGGCAGCAGATGTAGGGACGCTGCAGCGCCTGCCCAGAGTCATTGGGAACCAGAGGTGAGTGGAGAGCGCCTGGGCAGGGAACTGCAGGACTCTCCCGGACCAGGGGTGGCTTCAGCGCCCTAACATCGTCCTTTTGCAGCCTGGTCAATGAACTCGCCTTCACCGCCCGCAAAATGATGGCAGATGAGGCCCTGGAATGTGGGCTGGTCAGGTAGGGCCGCTGCGGGAGCTGTTGGACCCCAGGGCAGCTCGGAGGCTGTAGGGTGCGGTGTGCCCTCCCCGGTCATCCGTTGTTGAGATTCGCGGTCTGGCGCCTTCTCTGATGGGGAGGCGGGGACCCCTTCCCAGACCAACTGACTCCCACCCCCCTTCCTCCGCAGTCGGGTGTTCCCAGACAAGGAGGTCATGCTGAACGCGGCCTTCGACCTGGCGGCCGAGATTTCCAGCAAGAGCCCTGTGGCGGTGCAGGGCACCAAAATCAACTTGGTCTACTCCCGCGACCACTCCGTGGCGGAAGGGCTCAACTTCATGGTGAGACCCCGCCCGACCAATCACAGCCCTCCGCCGGGCCAGAGCAGCCAGTCAGGGCTCAGCTGCATGCCCGCCCTGGCTGCCATTGGCTCAACCCCGTGCTCGCCCCGCCCCGCCCCGCCCCTTACGCAGACGTCCTGGAACATGAGCATGCTGCAGACGGACGACATCGTCAAGTCGGTGCAGGCCGCCATGGAGAAGAAGGACCCGAAGAGCGTCCCCTTCTCCAAGCTCTGAGAGCCGTCGCGCCCCGCCGCCCGGCCCTGCCTCTCCTGCGGGCTGTCTGCCCTCCCCGCGGAGTGGGGTCCGCCCAGCCCGGCGCCCGAGTGCCTTCCCCACGGGTCGCCAGTTTGTAACTTCATGAACTGATTTTTGTATCCCGCCGGCCTTATCGTCGTCCCAGAAACAATAAAGAAACAATAAATGCAGAGCACCTGGTGTCCTTGGGGAGACAGGACATGGGAGGAGGCCAAGAGCAGCGGGGCGCTCCCCGGGACTGCCAGCTAACAGAGGGCGTGATGACTCAGGCTAATGTCATGCGACTCCCGGCTGCAGGTCGGCCGGCGGTCGGGCGCCCAGTGACCGCGGCAGAGCTGGTCTGGAGCCGGAGTCGCGGAGAAGCCCCTGCTCCCGCTCTTGGGCCAACCGCTGGGCTCTTGGTGCTTTAGGTTTTCTTGTTTATCATTCCATCTGCCACCCCCGCCCTGGAATGTGGAGGCGCGCAGGGGCTCTATTCAGTGCCGTCTGTATGCTCCTTTCTGACCTGAGCAATTTACTTGGTGGCTCCTTTCCAGGACCTGATAAGTTGGTGCTGCTGACATGCCCATTTTACAGATGGGCCGACTGAGGTGAAGGCGCTGACTCAGGATCACCTAGGCAGGCAGTGGGACATAGGCAGCCAGCAACCATTGCTCTGAAGCACTGTAGAGACCGCACAAAGGTGTACAAAGGAACCTTCCTGGTGGCGCCAGGGGTTAAGTCTCAGCACTATGAAGCTATCACAGCCACTGCAGCGCCAGTTTGATCCCCGGCCACGGAGCTGACCCACAGGGCGCAGCAGACATCTCCTGTTTCCCCACTGTTCCCCTTAGCAGTGGATTTCAGTAGATCCACCTGTTCTGCTCCCCACTCTGTCTCTGTCGAGTCCTCTCACCCTCCTCCTCTAGCTACACCCTAGGTCTTGTATGCCTAAATACCTAAATCTTTTTTAAAAAGGAGATAAAGTTACAGCGTAGGTATGCAGCACATTCAGGTGTTTTCCAGTCCTGGCACTGTCACGAGGTCCTCCCTCGCCACTGCCCAGCTGCTGTCCATCATGCCTGCAGCCCAGCCCAGCCCAGCCCTGCCCTGCCCTGCCCTGCCCTGCCAGGCCTCACCTATCCTCTGCTAACAAAGCGCTGATAAAGCCCTGCTGGGGCCAAAGGTCCCTACACTTCCTCTTTGCAGAAGGGCCTGGAAGTGGGGGTCCTGATCTGAGCCCCCCAGGGTTGGTCCAAATGAACTGGGTTCTGGCTAGTTACCAGAAGGGCTGGAAAGAGAAGGGAGAGGGGACCAGGGGGTCCCCTGGGGAAACCTTGGAGCTGGGCTATCCAGAGGCGGGACCCTGTGAACGGTGACCTGCCGCCACTCCCTTGAGTACAGGTATAAGAGCAGCCTACCGCTGCACGACCCGCTCCCGCAGCTCTTATCCCAGGACGAGACGCCAGCCCAGCCTCTCGAGATGGCCTACATCCCCGCGCCCGACTACCAGCCCACCTACAAGCCGGTGAGGTTCCAGCCCAGGCCCTGGCCCAGCGCCAACCTGATGGCCGCCCCCAGCAGCTGACGCTCACCCAGCCTCTGAGCTCCCCACCCAACCTTTCAGTCTGGGGTGCCCTATACTGACCCTGGTGCGGGGTTTATTCCCAGCCTGCCCTTGGGGGTCCTTGTCTACTCCCATTTCTCAGAGCCCCTCCATCATCGTGCCTCTTGCCCCAGCTGCCTCTCCTCTGGGGAGGGACATGGGGGGGCCTTTTTCTCAATGAGCGGGAAAGGCTGCAACAGGCCTCTCGCCCAACCCTTCTACAGATGCCGCCTTACAACCAGCCCATCCCAGGTGGCCTCAGTGTCGGGATGTCCGTGTACATCCAAGGAGTAGTCAACGAGCGTGTAAAGCGGTGAGGCGCTTCCCCGCACTGGGCTGAGAGGGGCTGCAAAAGGGGGTGCTCTGAGCACTGCACTGACCAGCCGCTCTGGGGAGGCCAGGGCTTGGTGATCAGGTCAGGATGGGGGACCCTGGATGCTGGCAGGGGTCAGGAGTCTCCCCCTGAGCAGCAGTCTTGGGGTTGGGACGTTGGATTGGAAAGGACGCAGATTCACCTCCCAGCATCGTCACCCACTGGCCGAGTGACTGGGAAAGGGACCGTACCCCTCTGCGCCTGTCTGGAAAAGGGGCCTTGTTCCAGGGGGCCTTCCATGCAGAAAGACCAGGCTGTGCGGAGACCCTGAGACAGGTGTGCACCTGCCTTGCTTGGGGATGCTGGCGTGAGGGGTTGGAGCCCGCTGACTTGGGTGTCCAGAGGGTCCTGTGAACATGTGGGCCGGGCCTGCAGCAAGAGGGAGGCCGGAGGCCTGAACCGATAAATGCAGGTCCCTGGACCCAAGCTGGCCACAGTGAAGGCCAGGCAAACAGGGGCCCCCACAGCATCCTGCTAGAGGTCGGGAGGGGAGTTAGCCTAATAAGGTAAGGGGTGAACAGGGGCCTTGAGCCTAGAACTTAGGGGTAAGCCCCCCGCCCTTCCTCACTCAGGTCTACAGTGCCAGTCACCTATCTGCGCCCATGCTCCCGGGACAGGGGGCTCCAGAGGGGGGCCCTGCCCTGGCAGCTGGAGCCAGGGGAAGAGCCCTCCATGTGCCCCCAGGTTCTCCGTGAACTTCAGCACGGGGCAGACCCCAGAGGCGGACATCGCCTTCCACTTCAACCCCCGCTTTGACAAATGGTACAAGGTGGTCTTCAACACTCAGCAGGGGGGCAGGTGGGGCAAAGAGGAGAAGAAAAGGAGCATGCCCTTCAGCAAGGGTGCCCACTTCGAGCTGGTGTTCATGGTCCTCCAGGAGCACTACAAGGTCAGAGCCAGCTCCCCCTCCTCTTCTGGCTCTCCCCCCACTTCTCAGCCCAGAGACGGTTCCAGACAGGTGATGTGGCTTCCCCAAGGCCACACAGCCTCAAGGTGCTGTCAGGGCTGGGCCTCAGACCAGCGCAGACTTGTTCCCTCAGTCTGGTGACACCCAGACTGAGTGCCCTGTTCTCGCTCCCTGCTCATCGGGAGCTGAGCTTTGGCCCGGACTTGGGCTCCAAGCTCCTGAGTCCGAGTCAGCTCACCTGCCCCCAAGACCTCTGACCCCGAGCGAAAGATCCCTACTCCCCGCTTCCTGGTTTTGCCTCCCCGAGGAGCCGGTGCCGCTCTGACCGGACCTCTGGCCTGCAGGTGGTGGTGAACGGAAGTCCCTTCTATGAGTATGGGCACCGGATCCCCGTGCAGATGGTCACCCACCTGCAGGTGGACGGGGACCTGACCCTCCAGTCCATCAACTTCATTGGCGGCCAGCCGGTCCCCAACCAGGTGCGCGCCCCACACCTGCTCTGCCCCGGTCCCTCCGCTGGGCGAGGCCACATCCCAGCGGGGACGGAGAGGGGTCCCCGGGGAAGCAGTCGAGTCAGCGGACAGTGCCGGCCGCGAGGGTCAGGGCAGGACACGCAGGGTGTGGGGGACGGGGACGGCTTCCCGGAGGAGGTGTGCAGGTGGAGTCGGAGGTGAATGGACCCACGGGGCTCGCAGTGATCATGAGCCACCGGGAAGGACCCCCAAACCACAGTGAGCTCCCACGATGCACAAAACGGGGGTTCTGCGGCTGGCGCCCATACGCCCCGGTGGGCGAGGCTGTGCAGGGGCCCCCGCTCCCCTGCCTCGGGTGCTGCCACGTCTGGGAAGGCCAACTAGGCAAATGCATGACCCAGGGCACAGGGACAGACGCCTCAGGCGGCGCTCGAGCCCCCCACTGGGGCCGCGGTCAGGCTCCGGACACCGCAGGACCAAGCGCCCCCAGCACCTCCGTGGGAAGAGTGTGGATGCCCAGCCCCGCCCTGAGCTGTGAGAGCAGGGGCGAGCCCAGGGCCTGGGGCTGAGGGCAGAGGGGGTGTGCCAAGGAAGCCTCTCGAAGGTCTGCATCCCTGCACCGCCTTGGGCCTGTGGGTGTTCGTGTGACTCTTTTGCTTCTTAAATATACTTGAGACAAGCCAGAGCCGTTTCTACTAGCTGGCTCCTCGTGGAAGGCAGGCAGGCAGGCGGCGGGAGAGTGCTGAAGGCTGACGGCAGAGACCCCCCCCACCCCACCCCCCCGTGAGAAGGCGCAGGGGGACGGGAACAGACGAGGATGGGGGGCAGAGGCTGAGGAAAAGAAACCCGGGTCGCCCCTCGGGGGGCCGAGCCAGGCGCGGGCAGGGGCAGGCGGTCCTGGGGTTCTCAGCTGTCGCCCCACCCCTGTGGAGGCCAGGAGGGTCGGGGAATGAGAGGGTGGAGATGAGGCGAGCGGGGCACTGTGGCTCTGGGGTGCCCTGGGGTGAGGGGGCGGTCCTGGGGACACCAGGGAGGCCAGGGAGGGTGGGGCAGGGCGGATGGACAGCCCGTCCTGAAGGGGTGCAGTGAGGTGCACTGAGCTCCCTACACAGTGAGCCCCTGTCCAGCATCTGGGTGCCGCCCTCTGCCCAGGTGCCCTCGGGGCGTCCTTGAGAGCCTCCAGGCCCTGGGCTGGGGTCCCGCTCATTACCTTCACCCCTGGCCCACAGGAACCCGCCATTAGTTCATCTTATGCTGCAAGTACCTGCTGGCGGGGCCGGTGACTGGGGAGGTCCCGGGCAGCCCCGGGCCCCTCTCACCACCTCCCCTCCCCATCTGTGTAGGGGCCCAGAAATGCCGAACCGCCAAACAGTCTGCCTGTAAGTCCCGGGCCGGGGGTGGTGGGAGTTGAGGGTGTCGGTGAGATCGGACCCCGCGGCACTGACCCAGCACCAAGCGCTGGTGCGCCGTGCCTGTTTGCAGACGATGGCAGAATGACCTTTTCCATTCACAGGCCGCGGAGGGACCTCCCATCCTCAACCCAGTAAGGCATCCGTGGGGTGCATGGGGGTGCGAGGGTCAGCAGGCACCCTGGGCAGGGGGCCCTGGTCATGGGGAGCCATGTGAGTGGGCAGAGGCGTCGGGGAAGGGGCTGATGGCCTGGGCGGGGTGGGGGGTGACTCCAGCTGGAACAGGCACCCCTTCTGCACACATGTCCTGTACCTGGCTTTGGGTGACCTGAGGGTTGAGGGGATCCCATGTTCTCTCCACAGCCTGTGCCATACGTGGGAAAGCTGCAGGGGGAGCTTGCAGCCCGAAAAACCATCTTAATCAAGGGCTACGTACCCTACCACAGCAAGAGGTAGAGCTTGCGGGCTGCGGTGGGGTGCCTGTGCCTTGGCTGGGGACCCACAGCTGCGCCCGCCCCCGCTGCCTTGGGGAACCAGGAGCTGGATCCCCACCTGACTCCCACCTTCCTCCGGCCCCCAGCTTCATGGTCAGTTTAAAGGTGGAGTCCACAGGGGACCTGGCCCTGCACGTCAACCCCCGCCTGTCCGAGGGCATCGTGGTTTGGAACAGCCATCTGAACAACTCGTGGGGGAAGGAGGAGAGAAGCACCAGCTTCAACCTGTTCGGGCCCGGACAGCACTTCGACGTGAGTCGGGGTCCCTCGCCTGCCCCCCGGCCCCTCCCGGCCCCGGCCTCACGCCGCCTCTCCCCCCACAGCTGTCCATCCACTGTAGCCTGGACCACTTCAAGGTCTCCGTCAACCGCCAGCATCTCTTTGACTTCCCCCACCGGCTGAGGGGCTTCCACACGGTGGACACCCTGGAGGTCCACGGTGACGTCACCCTGACCTACATCCAGATGTTAGGTGCATAGGGGCTGAAGGCCCTACGGGGCGCCTCGGAACCCTAATAAAATGTCTCGCTGTGTCACGGGCGTGCATGCGTCTCTGTCCCCTCCTCTGCCGGGGTCCCTGGAGAGATGTGGGGTCACGCCCATACAGATGTGCGGAGACAGCAGGTCCAGAAGTCTGGGGCGCAGACCCTGGTGGGCAGGGGGCCTCGGGGGCACTCTTTAGATGGTAAGACTGGGGTCAGTGGACCCCAGAAGGCCACCCAGCCTTCACAGCGGAGCCTGGGTGTCACCCGACTGCCACCCATTCACCCAGGGCTGCGAGGATGTGTGGTGAGGACCCGCGGCCTGCAGAAGCGGGTGTGGGGGAGTAAGCCTGGGAGACTGGGCGATGGCGCCGTCGTGCAGAAATGACTGAGACTGAAACCTGCCCAGCACGCAGATGGACACAGTACACTGCCGAGGGGAGCAGCGGGGAGACAGGAGGGGTCTGCCGCGCCCTGGGGGGCCCCCCTGGCCGGGGGTCGAACTCCTGCTGCAGTGGCTGTGACAGCTTCGCAGTGCTGCGCTTCAACCTGTTGTGCCGCCAAGGAGGCCAACTGGCCTTGCTGTTTCAAGGCCTGGCCTGGCGTGAGGCGCACCCACAGACTAGGCCTCCCCCAAACCCCAGTTTGTGCTCTGTGACAGAAACAGAGCCATGGCACCACCCCCAAACCACTGCCTCTGTTTTCAGGGAGTGTGGCACGGAGGGGTGCTCTGGAGCCCACCCCAACCCAGACCAGGAGGAAGACAGAGTGGGACCCCCCATCCAGCACCCAGGGGGCATGCACTGCCCTGGACTGCAGGATGGGGAGGGTGGGAGTGGGGGAGAGTGCTGAAAGACGGTTCTGGAAAGCAGGGAAAGAGGACCAGCTAAGCAGAACCCCTGGTAGCAGCCTAGATGCTCATCCGCGCCCCCAAATGCCCTTCGACCATCCCCTCGGGGGAGAGAGGCCAGGGCGGAGGCGCCCCTGAGATGGAGACTCTGGGTCCAGGCCCTGCCCACCTGCCCCTCCGGCTCCCAGACTCCCCTCAGCACACAAAGGCACCCAGCAGGGGTACAGTTGGGAGAGCAAATACTCAGAAGGGGGCTGGGCAGCCTCATGTACGTGGGCAGCAGGCACCCCATTTTGCAAAGATGGGGGCTTAGGCAAGGCGCATTACCCAGGCCGGCGGGCGGAGGCCGGCGGGCTGGGAGTGCAGCGTGGGAGGGTGGGTCCGGCCGCTGCACCAGGCGGCCAGTCTGGGCCTCGGCCACGTGCTGCTGGGCCCTGCTCAGCTCCCAGCCCCGGCCTGGGTGTCCCCCACTGCCGGCCTCCTGTGCGTCCACGCTTGGCGTCTGGCCAGCGGCGACCTCCGGCCCTGACCAGCTGACCTCTCCCCCGGAGGAGCGCATCCCCAGGAGCTCCCAGGGCGTGGCGTGGGCTGATTATCCTTCTACAAATTCTGGGGTAGCGTTTGGGGGAGCTTTCTTGCTCGCCCCTCTCAAAGCAGCAGCGGTAGTGCCCCCTACAGGCCAAGCGCGGTACTGTTTTAACTCGATGCTTTCCAAAGATCCCAGGATACCCGAAAAACTGCCCCAAGGGGAGCGTTTTAAAGTGGGTGTGGGGTGCCCCGGAGAAACCGCATTCTCTGTCTGGCCCTGACGGAGCCAGTGATGCCCTGGCCAAAAGCAGCTGCGTTGGGAAATGAACCAGCAAGCCCCGGCTTGGAGCTGGGTCCCGGGTCAGGAGGGCTGTGAGCGAGTCGCTGCGCGAGGCAGGATGCCCAGCCAGTGCCGTCCAGTCAAGAACAGCGCAGTCTGCCAACAAAGTTTCCCTTTTCTGCTACACTTCAGGGTCGTCTTTCCTCCTCCAGGCTCTAACCCCCGCCCAGGCCCCAGCCCTTCCTCATCTGCCCGCCCTCCCCCAGCCCCTGGGCCCAGTCAGGATTTCACCAAGTCCAAGCTGGCTTGGGCTGAGTCCCACAGTCTCTGCCTTTGGCTCTTCATAGCCCAGAGGCGGCGGGGCCGGGGCCCTCTCCTGCACGTGTGCTCTCCTGCACCGCCGTCGTTTTAGCTTTTCTCTTTTTGGGCTTGAAATCCCTTGCTGACCCCTCCCCCACGCCGGAGCCGCCAGACCCCCCCCAGGTGTGGTGCCAGTGTAAGGGGGTGAGGAGGGGAGCCCCGTGGTTTGGCCGTGGTGTTTCAGTTTTCTCCTCTGCAAAAGGGGGCGCCTGAAGCCCCCACCGGTGTGCAGTCGCCCTCCCAGGCCTTCGTCCCTTCACTGTCTCTTTGCCTCCCGCGTCCCCCGTGCTCGGGGAGCTGGAAGCCTAGGGGTGACGTGGGGAGGGTCGGAGAGCCTGCACGCAGGGTGGGGGTGTGGAGGGGGGAGCGCCACGCTGCTCTGCCCACGGCCGCCCCTCCCTCTGCCTCGCCCACCAACGCTCACGTCCACAGGTAACTTCCACCCAAGAGCCGTACCTGCACGCGTGGGCACAAGCCAGATGTCCCCCGCGCCCCTGCACCCACCCACGCCAGGGCTGCCTGGCACAAACAGCCACGCTGACGCTGCCAGCTGAGGCGCCGAGACGGAGCGACTGTCCTGTATGCAGTGTCCACACGCGTAGCCGGAGACGGGAGACGGTCAGTCCCGGGAGGAGGACAGGACCGGGGCCAGCGCCGCGCCGAAAGGCCGAGGGCAAGAGGGGAGCCGCGAGCACCCCGAGCTTCAAAGGGGAGTCACCTCCCTGGCACCAGGGAGCCTGGGAGGTGGCCAGCAGCCACAGCCAGACCCCCACCCCGACGCCCGGGCACCCGCTTTCGCCTCTGCAACAGGAGACCCCGACCGGGCCAGCCCCTGCCCTGGCCAGCCCCGGGCGCGGGCTCCCTCCACGGCTGGGCCCAGGCCGGGGGTGGGGGTGCTGAGGCCTAACCCCGTGCGCCATCAGGCCCCGCGGTCGGTCCGCCCGCTGACTTGTCCGGTCGTGCGGGCGGGCGAGCAGCCTCTCGGAGGCACAGAGAAGCGAGGCGCAGGGCTGGGTCCCGGCACTGCCACCCCCACGGAGGTTCCGCCTGAGCAGTCGGTGGCATAGTCGCTTAGCTGAAATGATGCTGGAGAGGGAAGATTCGCATCATTCAAAGTGGCCAAGTACTAGTCTGCCGAGCGGGGGCAACTCCTTCAGCGAGGAGGAGAGGCGCAGGCGGTGAAGTCGGAGCTCAGGTTGCAGCTGCTCTCTGTCCCGCGGGCTGGACGTCCGGGTTAAGCCCGGCCGGCAGGGCCCTGGGCGGGGCTGACCCCGGGAAGCTGCACTGTCCTCTGCGGGCAGCAACCTCACTGCGGCGTGACCTACAGTGAAATCCACTCTCCAGGACTGTGCGCTCACAGGACTGCACCCCCTCTCCCCTCCTTGGCATTAGCCACTAACTGGCTCCGCCTGCACCCCCAGAACCTGGGAAACTGCTCATCTCCAATCAAATCCTCAGTCTGACTCCAGTGCCTCTGCTGTGGGGGGTGCTGAGGACACCCCCTGCTGGGGGAGCCCGACACCCCACTCCTGTGCCCCAGGCTGCTGGGCGCCCCTCCAGCTGGAGACGTAACCCCTGACACCCCCCCACTCCTACTCCCTTATCCCAGCATCCCCACCACTCAGCGGGCTGCCTCTTCTGGGGTACCCATCCCCGTGGGTACCCCGGTCTTCTGGGGTACCCACCCCGAGGACGCATCGCTCATCAAACTCTGTCATGTGAAGACAATTCTCGTGATTCTGACGTTGGCTTTCTGGGCCCCAGCACAAGACCGTGGGGTCACGTCCAGTCGGCCGCCCCTCCGGGCCCGGCTGCCCCCCGCCGAGCTGCGGTATCTCCCACTCCAGAAGGTGTCACCCCAGCCACAGCCACAGTTTCTCCCACGTGTCTGGCTGCCACGCAGGCCGCGCCCACGCCCCTCACAGCACCCTCGGTAGTGGCTCACCAGCTGGGGAGCAAAAGACGAGCCAGGGACAGCGCAGGAGGAGAAACAACAACACAACTCGCCACCCGGAGCGGCGGCAGACGCGGGCAAGCTCAGAGCCCCCCACAAGCCCGGCCGGGGTCTCCCCCCCAGAGACCTGAACCCTGTCCTTTGGGGCTTTGGGGCTATTTTATTACACAGGCTGGAGTCATCAAATCACCGGGTGTGACGCGTTTCCAAGCCCTCTGCTTACGCTGAGTTTTGCTGCAAACTGCGGCGTGGTCAAGGGAGGCGAACCCCTGGAGGTCACGCAACGTGGGGCGCCTGGCCGAGGTCCCACCAGGCAACCCCCGGGCCTCAGGTGCCACGCCAGGGCCAGCCAGCACAGCCCAGAGTCACCCAAGGTCACCGGCGCTTGCTCTGTTTTTCCCTAGATGTCTTATAGTTTCCACCATTCCTGGCAGGTCTAGGATCAGCTGTTAGCTAATTTGGGGATGCGTTTTTCCAGTTTTAATAGTCAGTTTGGGAGAGGTCTGCCGTGCCACGTGGGTCAGCCCCCTGGCTGGGGATCGAACTCCTGCCACAGAGGCTGCGGACAGCCTCTTAGTGCTGCACAGTAAGCCCCTGTGCCCCTGGGGAGGGCCCTGAATGACCAATTTATGGGCTGTGTTGTGTTGGTGCAAGTTAGTAACTTAGATGCGGCCCTGAGAGCCTGGAAACATCCCAGTGAGCCTGGTATGGGACTGGCATCCAAGGAGGCTCTGGGGAAGGACTTCTAGCCCTTCACCTTAGAAAAGTGAACATGGGGGTGTGATGCAAATTGGGGATTAGCTCCTGAATAACAACGACATCTGTCCACAGAGCCCTGGCCCTGGTCCTGTGAGGCAGCCTCTCCTCGCGGGGCCCCTCCAGACCTGCCCCAGGCCCGGGCCCACCTGTTAGGCCAGGATAAATGCCCTGTGTTGTCCTGTTCTCTTTAGGATTTACATCAATGTAGATTCTCCACACACCTTGTTAAAGCTCCGTTTTTTCTACTAACCTGAGATCAATTTGATT